GGAAACCAGACACTTGGAATTCGGAATCTGCGTCAAGGAATCCGAATCAAAATTACGTACTTCAAATGTTTCATAAAAATGAAGCAAGGACGCTTTGAAATCTGAATCCAATATGGTGGAATCCAGAATCCTGGAGCTTGGAATCTACGAACGCTCCAGAWTCCAAGAYAAATCAGTCATAACGSGCTTGTGGAAGTTAAGGGGAATTCCCGTTTATTTCATAGTCTGCACGTCATTTAAATACTTCACGCACCCAGTCACGCACATTGACTAAGTCAAGTAATTACCAAAAAAAAAGCAATTCTCGCGAGATCAGTTGTAATTTTATTAATATTTTACGGCTACAATAAATAGTATACCCTTTTTATTTAAGCCCATCACCGAACTAAAGCTATTTTTAAACTTATATATAATATCACCCAAATTCATTGTGTGACAGTCCATGTCACGAAGTCAAGTATTGAAAGCGTCACGAACTGTCACGCAGATTAAATCACTATTTACACTCAGTTGTAATAAGGAGTTATACTGAAGACGTAGGATTGTTTGTGACATGAGATAAAGAATGATTTAGATTCCTTACGTTACTCAAGCTCTCTGACAACATCGAAGGATTTGTAGCGTAGCTACGCCGTGACGAGAAATTTCTGTCACGCAACACTCTCAGGCTTCTCATGGCGTTTTTAAAGGTTTCTTTGAATTTCTTGTTACGAAATGCGTAAAGGTAAGGGTTTAAAGCAGAGTTAGAGTATCCAAGAATCAACAAAACAGTGAACATTTCCTGCGGTGTGGAGAAATAGCAAGACATACACAAGCTAGTAGTGATGGTCAGCACTGTGTACGGCATCCAACAAACAAAGAACGCGCACACCACAATCAAGATATTCTTCGTTGTCTTGATATTCTTCTGCAGCCTTTTTCGTTCTTTTCCTTTCTTTCTTTCGTCCGAAACAAACGACATTCCAGACCGCTGTCTCGACTTCCGCATTTGATTAACAGTGCGATATATTCTGAGGTATAGCACGCACACGATAATCACTGGTAGAACGAAATTAAGAAACGAACTCAACACAGAATACTCCGCCGTGATGTTAAAAGAACACGAACCTTGGTAGATGTTCTCTTTATACGTTTTCCAGCCCATTTCAGGAATCAGCGCAAACACGAACGAGTACAACCACAAGSCTGCTATGACTACGCATGCGCGCTTCCGAGTCATAAACCTCGTCTGACGAAACCTATTCAATGGGTCGACAAGACTCTTATACCGATCGACGCTGACAGCCAGCAGGCTCAGGATCGATGAAGGAACAACAAACAGGTAGATGGTTGTCCATAAAGAGCAGACGAAGCTTCCATGATTCCATCGCCAGCCTAATAGCGTCTGCTCCGCGTCGAACGGAATACTGAGAGTRACWGTGAGAATGTCGGAGATTGCGAGCGACATGATGAAGTAATTCGTAGGAGAAATCCGTAGAGCAGGGCTGAGGCAGAAAGCAAGCAATACAAGTGTGTTTCCGATAACTCCTGCAACGATGATAACGATGTATAACACCACACATATCACGCTGAAGATCAGTTTGGTCTCGTAAGGTGGAATGATAAGGGATGTACCATTAGACGCAGACACATTCATTTTCTCACCTTTCGCAATTTCTCAAAAAAGWGTYGTTATGTTRCTGGCCTTTCTGTGATGTTGCAGCGACAAAGATTTCTTGTGTCTCAAAGAGTCGTTTTAGATTCCAAACCCTTTTAAAAAGCGTCTTCTTCTTGGAATCAACCGTTCCTGCTTAATATCTATATACTTTTTCCTGCAGCTGAATCAGTCTGAAGTCGGCTTTCAGAGGCGTTTTTTATCTYTAAAGAGTTTTGTTTCCTTATTATCCTAATGCCCKATAGGAGTCCCACYATGTTGTTTCATAAACAAACGATTCCCATCAAATGTATTCAGAAATGATTTTCTCTACTGAGAAGCAGTACTGCTGTGATCTTGTGTCTTCTCTTTCTAAACCACTCCAGATATTTCCGTGCSTTTTTCAATGCTTTTTAGAAYTATAATTATTCATTTATCGAACTTGCGCACTAGAATTGTCTGATGTTATTTGTTATTTTCTGCTTTTTCACAAATGACGCTGATTTGAGAAGAGCTGTTTTGAACGTACGTAAGGAGGTTCTTTATGGCTTTTTTTATCTTTTTTTAATTTCCACTTCTCTTGTTTCCCCTTTATTCTCTTTTTCCCACTTTTAGTCTGGTATCAAATCAAAAGCGTGTCGTCCTTCTTGTTGAATCTATTTTCTTGATCAAAACGAGAGCAATATAGCTTAGTCTATTATAAGCTTAGTTGCTTGATCTGAAAAACAGAAAAACAACACATTAGTAATGCAAAAGGTTGACGATATGAATACTATGTATTTCAAAGGAAACAAAATCTACGTTTTCAAGTTTAGATCTTTGGTAGCTTATATAGGMTTCTCGACTTGCGAAACAAAAAGAGCCGCTCAATATACCATAAAAAACATAGCAATTTGTAGAGTATCTATTTTATTTTCTACTAAATGGCAATCTTAAACCCACTAGAGATACCTTAGTAGCTGGAATTCAATCTTGTTAAAGGAATATTGCGTCTTAAGCTTTTAAAGTCGTATATCCAATCAAATTATATTGCTCGAATGTACTTCGCCACCTCGTGCGGGATGTAGTTGAAATGGAATATAGAATCGAATGGAACTCTTGATCAAATCGAACCTTTGATCAAATGGAACTCCCAATGCGTGGAGCTTTATGAGATGTAACTTTTATGAGATTGAGCTGCCTTTGAACAAATAAAACCCCTACGTTCGGAAGGAACCTTTGATTGGATGCAAAGTTAAAAACAGCATTTGAACATCGACGACTTGTTTTATATTCCAGTGGATTGCGTGGTTTATTTGCTTTCACCCACATTCACCAAATACTCTAAACACATTTACAGACTTATTAAACGACCAACATATCAAATGACAGACCCAACAGTTTAATTATCCGCCCTGATTAATCATCACTTCAAAGACAAAGAAAAACGAGAACTTAAAAATTATTATCTTTTTAGCGTCATTAAATGTAGTCGCCCTTACAGCGAGAGCGAATATCCGCCACACCAAAATACGAAGGTATTTTTTTTTCATTTAAACACAAGCCTTGAAAGCTAATGGGTTTAAGAAATATACGCAAAGGCATGAACTCTTATGAGACGATAAGTTGCAAAGGAAATGCAGATCCGTAGTAGTACAGGAAGCTTAAATGGCAACAGGAAGATATAAAACTTATCTAAGGAAGAAAAAAAATCTAAAATAGTTTAAGATCGGGATACAGAGTGTGATAAATGAAACGATTGATTTAGGGAAAAAAATGATTACCTCACTTTTCTCTTGATCACATACAACTAATGCACTTAGATGCTGAGTAAGACATCGCCAGAAGCATGATTTAAAGGAAAAAGGCAGCGTTTTCTCTGGGATTTAGATTAGTTGTCTAAGTGGATAAGTGAATAGTTTCATAAAGTAGAAAGATATGAAAAGAGGATGGAAGGAAGGATGGAAGGAAGTGGGATTCTACGACGAAGTTAAGCTGGCTCCAATAGATCAAATAAATTTAGTCTTTGTATAAGCCAGTAAATCTTAGAGGAAATAGATAACAAGAATCACGATTTTTTACAAGAAAATCAAAACAGATTTCTTTGATAGGAGATTTAAGTTAAGATGACCTCATAAGCAAGATATTCAAAAAGATTTTTGTGAACAATTTTGAAAAATATAATAATGCCGTGTGGAGTATATCTCGTTTTAGAGTTTAATCAATGCTTTGGATAACAAGATTATATTAGATTGAAGTATGTTTTACGCAAAGCTGTAGCTATGAATGCGGAAATAAGCGCGCAAAACGACTTAAGTTCTCTAGGAAAGAAAGAAAAAAGAAATGAGCTAAAAAAACAAGTGGTCTATTGAAAAATACACTTCCAAAAAATGTCAAAATGGAACGTAAATCATTCAAGCAATAAAACTTAAACACAATCAAGTGAATGATTATTGAAATAGTAGAAAAATTCAAAAAGAAAATGATTAATTCCGATGATTAATGTCATATTACCGAAGTGCAATACTATTTTCTCCTGTCAAAAGTAACGACTTACTTTGTATATCGCGGCACAACTGCACATCCAACTTCAACTTCAGCCCTGATTTTTTCGAACTAATAAAGATGGTCGATAAGGGAGTCCTTTTAAAAGAGTGCAATCAACGGATGTGCAAAGAAGATTGAAGACGAGTTCATTCACGGATTAGATTACGGTGCGCTAAAAAGCCTGGAGGAAATCGGTCCGCTTTCCTGTTTTAGATGCAAATATYCACGATGGCATGCTCGTGAACGGTGGCATCGGTGAACACAAAAGCTATTTAATCAAGTTTTTCAGAAATATTTCTCATTTTTTGTAAATTTGACAGGAATATTATGGCGACGTGATAAGATTAGAGAATGGTGGGAAATTTCATCCAAATGGAATTTGGCACTTAATAAACGTTTGAAGATATTTTTCTTATTTCTTTGAGTTTGACAGGGATATTGGCGACGTGATAAGATTATGAAAAAGTGGGAAATTTCATCCGACTGGAATTTGTTTTTCGGGTCTTTATGACGCGTGTGTTCCTGTCATTTGAAAAAATATCCGCCTTTGCGACAGCTAAGCTTATCGATCCATCAATTCGGTTTATATAGAAGCGTTGCGTTGTTCTCGTTGGATTATTAAGTGTTATCACCATCATAATTATCGAAAAAGACTTTATACCTTCGCTAGGAAGAGGCTTGTTGTAATTGTCAGGCGCGTGCTCCCGGCGGTTTTCAGCAATCGGATCCACGGTCTCATAGATGGAACTTTTGCCGATAAGGCCACAAAGAAAACAACAACAAAAACACTTATGTTATTCACAACCTTGGAGCCTGCATTCCGTGTAAAAAGCTACCCTATTATATTTTTTGGGGGGTCTATCGATAAGGGAATCGTCCAGAACTCTAAAGTTARCTCTGGGCCAATTTTCAGCATTGCTAAATATACCATTATTCCAAATTGTCCGAATCCTTATCATGCATCAAGATATTCTTCTATTGACAAAGGGAAATAAGCCTGATTCACATTGTTTTATACTAAAATTGGTTTTATGAGATAAATATCTCGCGGGTTCACGTTATTATACTTATGAATAACCACCGCAAGAGTCTGTAATTATCCCATAGCTTGCTGGGACTACCTGCACTAGATCATATCGCTTTTTGTTTCACGAGACTTGTTTTAAAGTCCTCCCGATTCATAAACTCGGCTCTTTCATTATGACGTCACATCAAAATATTGTATTGTTTGAACGCCAAACATAATGGTTGGCAGTGGGGTACCGGCGATGAYAGCAAGACAAAGAAAAGCAAATTCTTTTATGGACCGAGAAGAAAACAGGAAAATACTAAAAATACAGACAGGAAGTCATTGGTAAACAATGTATGTGAAAAACAGATAATGCGAAGACGACTATTTGGCATGGCAGGACGTAAGAGYGATACAGCAGGAGCTTGAACGCAGTAAGTTTAATCTTCGATTTGAAAATATATTATATTATTTTGCAACCCACAAAAATATCGCAATGAACAGGATTTTTTTTGCGATTTAGCAAAGGAGGGAACACCCCGACTTCCTGGTTATTTCGTGAATATCTAGTTCGGGAACTCGGCTTGCGTTCGTGTGCTCGAGCAGGAATATAAGATAGATAGAATTGTTTATTCTCGCCAATAGCAGATCAAATCTTGATTAACTTCGGCAAAAAATAGCCCGCTGCGTGACGAGTCAGTTTATTAAAGCCTTTTTTGAGACCCACGTCGCGCGAATTATAGTTTTCAATAACATGCAAGCGGAGTATAGAAATCATATACCAAACTGTCAAAATAGGAACGTATATTTGTCAATATTTGTCAAACACTTTAGAAACATTTATTGTATCTAGCAGTAACGCATTAAGACTTGCTCTGCTCTCTTTTACTTCGTAAATCTTGTCTTTATTGACCTTGGATTAGCTCTTCCTGTCAGACGGTCCAGTACCGACTAAAAGCAAGAAAGTCTGGTTGATGTATTGATTATTCATACAGCTATTTCAAAAAACGTTGTCGGGGAGAACGGCGAACGGCGATTGTCGAAGGGAGATTGCACGGCCGAAAGGGACTATGGTTACACTGTTTTGATAAACAAAATTTCACTTATTAGATTTACCTTACATAGAAATGGAGACTAAATGGAGCCAATGTTTACCACAGACCATTTTAAAGTACAAATCAGTTGTAATTGCCTTTCAACTAGCAAAACCCATGGCTACTTTCGGTCGTGCAATCGCCGTTCGACCATTGACATTCGCCATTTTATCCGACAACCCTTTTTGAAACAGCTATATGTGTACATCCATTTCAAAAACGGTCCATGCGACCGCGGTGAATTGCGGGATACCACCGAAGAAAAACTTTGATTYAATCTTTTTAAGGTGGGCACGAGTCTGAATTAATTGGGATACGTGCTGAAGGGATTACGAATTCAAAATACATAGATTTTTCACAATATTGAATATTTTAATCATGAATGATTAAAAAACGGGACGTGATASACCGGCGCTTTTTACAGCGGTTCATGCCAAGAAAAGGAAATAATAAATAATAATCCAACTGGGAGATCTACTATTATTGACAATAGCAAAGTGTGATGCAAATGATTCTGAATGGAAACTGTTCGTCATCGGGGCGATAATCGGCCTCTTCTGCGACATTTCCGCATTATTTCGATAAAATAGTGGAACTACTAGAAAATCCACCTTTTCTAACTAGGCAAAAGATAAAGCTTGCCGCTTTCCGCCTTTGTTGACTTGTATTACGTTATGTTGGTGTCAAGAGTCTGGATTTTATGAGACTTTTATTGTGCTGTTGAAGATGAACAAGATGCCGCCGTACGACAAMAACGTGCACTCTCTTCAGAGTCATAGATTAGGAAGCAAAACTCGGAAACAATAGGGTTGACCATATTTGGTAAAACATCAGGAGGAGCCGAAGGGGTCTGTTCTTCTAAATAACTGTTCTTGTACGAATKTTTTCCTGGGAAAGGGATTTTTTGCTACATTGTTGACAATCTCACAAGCAAATGTGGCGCCTTCCTTCTTTAAAATAATTTTGTTCCTGGCAAACGTTTTTAAGGTAAAAAAAGGCTTATATCTTTTTAGAAAGTTTTTCTTGTSTGGAGAGTTCTTTTTTGCTGAATTTCTCACTGACAGTTGTGACTTGCAGTGACTTACAGCATAGCCGCTCGACAAGCTAGGAGTTTTTMAGTGGGTTGSAAAAAGTCGTAAAACAATAAATGGCTTACGCATTCAAATCATGATGAAAAAAATATCATATCGTGTGTATAAGAATCTTCAGCGAGCTAATTTCATTCTGAATATAGACGCCAAATAATTCAAAAATTATGAGCCGAAATAATATGAAATGAAATGTCCACTGATGGGAATACTCCAGTTTTGAATTCTCTTTTTTGCAAGCTTTCATTCAATGAAGCATAATTTTTTATGTACACAGAAAGGTTCTCTGCTGAATAAAAGAATATAGTGCATGCTTTCGAGGTTTTAACCTAAAAGACTGCACAAATAAGATCTCGAAGCTTGCGAGTATTTATGAAAGACGGATGAAAAAATGAGTGCATTTTAGTTCATTAGAATCAAAAGACAATAATGAGCGATACTTTAACGAAATCCGTCAGGATTGAAATCGTGACGTCATGTACATGACTTAAAGGACGGACGCAAAAAAAAAATATGGCTGTTAAATTAGCGAAAAAACTTCATACATTAGCAGATAGCTCTTTCTTTCGTAGCTAAAGGCTTGTTTGTTATATCTTCCACAAAGAACAGTTATAATTACATTTGTTCACATTAAACAGTTCAAGGCTAAGTTATTCATAACGCATACCTTTTTTTACTCATGAACTACTATTCAAGTAAATTAAAACGCCGTTAGCGATATTTTAGCTATAAGTTTCTTGATCCTAAACCGTTATTAATGTTAAATTGATTTTTTTTCATGTTACGTCGGCTGAGAATGGATGTTAAATTGTATACTTAAAACACATACTGACAATTAAATAGCCTTAGGCGTTGCATTTAAGAGCCTTTCTGTGATATTTTAATGTAGATTTTTCTTATATTCACAACTGAGGACTTTGTTTTCATATGGCAGCTCTTTGAAAATATTCTTTAAAAGTCAACAATATCTATTTATGATATATAAGGGTGTATTTTTGAGTTATATTTCTTGTGAAAACGTAGGCACTAAACACCCACTTTGAAGTAAAAAAAAAATTGGCGGATATTTTATTCAGGTATCAGTTGGGTTGAATATTATAACATTTGAAAATGATCAAAATATTAGTCTCAAATGAATTCCTTTATGTGTATATATTGATATTTCTAGTTTTCAAGGAATTTTTGAAAAACTCTGTAATATTTTCGCAGTTGTGGATTCAAATGTGACTTCAGAAATCCAAGATGGCGGACAAAAAAATTTCCGATGCTTAATTCTCTTTTGAGTCAATTTAAACCAAAGTCCGGCTCCATGATTTAGTTTACACACTTCGTTCAAAACAAAGAAACATCCAACATTTACAAATTGAGAAACAAACTGTTATTTACCCGACTAACTCAAACTTTAATCTTTTTTTCTTGTGTTAATTATAACGTATTTCCTTTTCGTTAACGCAATAACAAAAAAATAATTAACTTCTGATGGTTTTAAAGCGCGAATAAGGGAACTATCATTTAAAAGGGTTTACACTTTTAAGAATTTCACATCCTTTGCGAAAATTGACTAAAACTAGTTTTATTGATTTTGTTTTTGAGAGACTGAGGAGCCGTATTTCCTTTTTGTAAAACACAAAGCGATCATATATCAAGAAGAATTTTTTTTAGTGATCTTTGAGAGACTGAAATGTGTTTTTATGAAATTCCAGTGTCAATACACTTACTGGTCAAGATACTTAAAAGAAAAGTCGTTCTAATAAGTGAATTTTACTGTCTTTAGAATGAACGAAGTCTTTCTGCTTTTCTTTCGTCACCATTTCGCTGTCTTTTGTTTCGTTATTTTTTTCATTTTTTTCAACTTTTAATTCTCATCTTTAATTCCACTTACTTTTCTTTTTTAAATCTGCTTTTTTTATTCATTTTTTTTACAAAGAAACATACCTAGTCTCTTATTTAATTTTGGGTTTGTCAAACTGGATTTCAAATATTATTTTTCGATTCTCTTTTTCTTAATCATTTAATTACCATTATCAAAAATACATTGAATTTTTACTATATTCTTGTATTAACTATCAACGCAATACCGCCGGCATTTAATCAGATATAACTTAATCCCAACAAGAGTAGCTTTTAACATTACAAGAGGGATGAAAACACTCTTCTATCGTGTTCCAATAAAACTCTGTTTCTGACTTCATTACGCTCGAAAGGACATCAAGGAGATTCGACTGTCAGTCCTTCGCAACATACTCTTGTCATTATTTACCAACTAAATGAAGACGACCGTGCCGTTTGCTTTGCGGGATCTATGGATCCGACGTTTCATCCTTAAGATTGAATTATAAAGAAAAAGGCTAATTTTTCCTCTCGGAATCCCAGATTATGCACAAATCTGTGCTTACAAAATTAAAATGTTGAGTTTAATAGCGCTGTTTTGTGTTTATATGAAAAAGAGTTTCAGCAAATATCAATAAAACTCTCGCATTAAACGAGCCGTTTGTTCAAGTTTCCATTAGAAAATCCATTTTCGATTCAAGAGAAACCATCGGTACTGTAATATAAAAAATTTAGCTCAATATCCAACTAAATAATTTGTAATTTATCATTGTGCTGATCTAGTGAGGTCGGACGCCAAAGATTTCTCACAAAGATTTGGCTGAAATGTCATTTTTTTTCCTCTCGTTTTCATTATACAACTGTAGCAACATTAGATAAAGAGAACTCCCCTCATTTGACGATACCATCGAATGGGAGGTATTACAGTCTTAATTGTATTCAAGACGTCATAGTCGGGTTAATAGCCGGGAGGTTTAAGGTTTTTTTTATACTAAAAGGCCAAACGGCAACCACATATAATGTACATTGGGGCAGTACCAACAGATGTCTTCGGCTGATTATCGTCCCCAGGTTGTACAGTGACGACGAAAGAGCAATTGAAGAGCGACTGAATGTAGGCGGAATTTACTTCATTGTCAGACACTTATAAAAAACGGCAGCTCTCCAGACAACAACTCAGATTTAACTTTAAAACATCGAACGGTGAAAAACCTTGAGATAAACGTGATAAAAAGAAATCTAATAATGCCATCTTGGAAGACATTGAAGAGTCCATGCATCAAGAACCAAAGTAAGCGACTTAATTGCACTTTAAGCTCACTTTAATTGCTGTCGATTTATGAAAGAAAAGTGCAGCTTCATTTCCAGAACATACTCCACGCAGACAAAGTGACTCACACGAAAATTCTTAACTCCCTTGAGTGATAAATATATTAATTTGATTATAATTTTTTCGAGAAAAGAGATCGCAGGAAAGCCCATGCGCATTTTGAGAAACATCTAGAGAAATGACACAAAATACGAATAATTAGTGGGATTTTCCTATATTTCACTATAAGAGGAATTAGAAAATATAAGCTATCTTTAGTTATAGAAGAATGAAAAGTGAATAGAATTACCAAAGAACTATAATTGAGATTTGTTATGGCTAAAATTTAGTTAAACTGAAGCAAGGAACGACTCACCTACCATTTCTATAGCAACTTTACCAGTACGATACTATTCGTGCAAGGACGGACAGTAAACATCGATATATGAAGCAGTAAAAGTTCCGTTTTACAGTACAAATAATTGAGTTATCTATTTGTTTTAACTTATTCCAGAGAGCCTCTGAGGGAACGACTACCATTGGATAWCCGCTCGTGTTAGTTTGGGAGTGYGCTGATCTRAACAAACTCGCCACTTTTAAGCGTCATTTTTCATCAAAGACGGACGGACGTCGCTCTTCTGCTTATTAAAATTCTCACGTGGTAATAACACCGAGGACCAGCTTGGTAAAAATATTGAGTTTTACCGTTATTGACATTTATTCATTCGAATGCAAACGTAATTTAAATTAAAGTGGAATTAATGAAAGGAGTTTAAAGAAAACCTCTCCTTGCTCAAGTCAAAACCACAGTAAAGAGTCAAGTGCTTTGTATTTGCAAATGAATTCATAACATTATTGAATTTATTCATTCGGGGGCGAACAATTTAAAGTCAGCACCAATACCACTTCTACTCTTGAATGCTCAATATATCAAGATCCCATATGGCTGTCTCAATTTGAAGTATTCATCTGATTTAAACACGATAATTATCGTGTATTGGCGTGCTCTTCTCAAGTCATTAAATCCGCCGAAGGCACGCGACGAAAGGCCCTATAACCGAGTCTAAATAACTGACCCTGGGGAATATATTCGAACTCAGATTTAACAATTATGAATGACACAAACATTACCACAGCATTCACGCCTTACGGACTGCCAAAATCTCTAGTTTTTATCATAGTGGTGATTCAAAGTTTGATTATTGTGGCAGCACTTTGTGGAAATGTACTTGTTTGTTTGGCGATTTGCGTCAATAAGAACCTACGAGAAACACCATCCAACTACTTTCTTTTTTCGCTTGCGGTCTCTGATATCCTAACAGCCACTTTATCCATGCCATTTGATGTTGACCAGACATTAAAACCAAACTGGAGGTGGGACCATGGACCAACGATTTGCAAACTGTGGACAACAATTTATCTAATTGCTGTTCCCACATCGATTCTGAGCCTGCTGGCGGTCAGCGTCGACAGATACAAGGCGATCACCGACCCCTTGAATAAGTTTAAACGCTCACCGTTTTTGACGAGAAAAAGAGCAACTGTAGTCGTCGTAGGGTTGTGGGTATATTGCATTGTGTTCGCGCTGATTCCTATGATGGGCTGGAGCTTGCGCCCCGATGAGATAAACATCGAAAATGAATGTGTGTTTAACACTCCAAGGATATACTCACTGCTTAACTCATGCCTTAACTTCTATCTTCCCCTCTTCATCATGGTCATCATTTACTTTCAAATTTATAGAATAGCTAGTCGAATGAATATTGTGTTGGACGARCGAGCTAAACTTTCTATTACAAATCATTCGCAAGGAAAGTCGTTGTCTGCAACATTACCATATCTTAAAGCATCACCGACTCCCTCGACAGACGACGGACAGCCCCTATATTCGCCTGATATGTGCCCGGTTAAAAAGGTTAAGAGACAAAGAAAGAATTTKAACCGAAGCGTCAAGACAGCCAAGAGTATTTTGATTATTGTYTGTGCACTTTTCTTTTGYTGGATACCACACACTACAGTCAGTGTAGTTGCTGTGTTTTGTAAAAGTTGTTATGTTGCTATCCCTGCACCAGTTTATTCTTTTCTCCTTATTCTCGGTTATCTAAACTCTGCTCTTAATCCCCCACTCTACTCACTTTATAACCCAAAGTTCAAAGAAGCGTTCAGAAAGATTTTACGGCTAAAAGTCGTTAAATCACAGCAAAGGCATTGCTCTAGYTATTCGCCGTCAGACGGTGGATCAAGGATAAAGAACAGTATATATTTTCATGGCAATAGGCAAAGCACAGGAAGTCGGATGCGCACAGAAACTGCAGCTTAATTGGAGATGTAATCACTGAAAGGTGATGGGAAACTGTTGTTTTGATAACATGATAAGATTTTTACATCCTGCGTCATTACATGTATGGATTGAACATTCAGGAAAAGGATTGAAATATAGGTTTGAAAAATTGAATTTATCTCGACGCTAGATACACATATATTGGTCTAATTCGTATTGCATGATGTAACTTTTGATTTACAACAAGACYTTGATGGAAAATAGAAAACAAATAAATAACTAGTGATATCATAATACAATATCTACCGATATCCCTGAATATGATGATAAATGAACTGAAAATGTCATCTAATCTCGTCAAAATTGTATTCAAATAAATATCATTAAAAAAAACATTACATCACGAGCGCCACAAGAACCGCATGCAAGCTGTGCTGCGCAGGAAGTTGTGTTTCATTTTCACTAGCATAAAGCGCAAAAGCATTAGAGAAAAAGAGCAAGAAAGGAAACATTTTGATATCTAATGCACTTCCTTCGTGTTAGTGCGTTGCGCGTTTTTTACTGTGAAATAAGACCGCAAAAGTTTTGCCTTTTTTTCGCGCTTACTCTTATGAAGACCAGGCTTTACGTTGAATGTTGATTAAATGCATATATCAAGCATATTCATTTGTGACTTAGAGCTCCACACCCAAAACCAGTGATCACATCCGGTACTTTACTTATTAAGGCTGATTTACACGGTACGATTTGTCGCGCGCGACTTGTAGTATACGATTTTCCTACTACAAGTCGTAGGATTTTAAGCAGTGGTTCAAAGTCCTACTACAAGTCGTAGGTTGCGCACGACTGTTGTAGACAAGTCGTAGGGGCATTTACACGGCGCGATTCAAGTCGTATCCTACAAATCGCACGACACAATCGTGCCGTGTAAATCAGCCTTTAAGCTCGGCAAATTTGAACTCAACCGTTCTAAAGAAAATGAACTCAGAAAAGTAGATTCCACCCTTTCTCTTGCTGTTAATTATACAATATTAATTAATTAACAATACGAAACCAACCAAAAAAGATATTTCGAGTGTGTAAAAGCGGAAGTAAGATATATTAGGGAACTTCAGATTTGACAACGAGTACAAGATTGAGTACGAGTACGAGTTACGAGTTTTAAAATTGACCTTAAGTGTGCTATTAATCATGTATGAATTGCATTCCTGTGAATATAGCTTGACACATCAAAGAAATAAAAACAAGTGGATTGAAATTCAGACAGCACAATAAAAGCTGGTTTCAAAACTTGTACTCGTACTCTATCTCGTACACGTTGTCAAATCTGAAGTCCCTATTATTCTGGACTTTAAAACCGAAGCGACTATTTTAGCCATACTATACACCCTTTTAATAAGTCCCGAGGTATCGAGTTCTCCGCAATTGACGTCAAATTTATTCTTTTGAAATTTTTACAATATAAAAGGAATTCAAAAGAATAAATTTGACGTCAAGTGCGGAGAACGTAATACCTCGGGACTTATTAAAAGGGTGTATAGTTAAAATTAAAACCTGGAAAACGTCGACTTTGAATATAAAAATCTCAGCGCATAATGAACAGATCAAAAAGGTTAACACCGGAAAAGCTACATTGGTCTTTCAASTACACTTTGTTATCCGTGCCAGACAATAGCGGATCGGTGACAGATTTGGTATAAAAAGTACCGAAGAAAAGTCTCAAAAAGGTTGGTTGAAAGACATCCTGCTATACTACTTATATCATTGACGTCAGACTCCGTATAAAAAGGCTTATTAGACTTTTATAAGAGGTTAACTCAATGAGAAATAAAAAAAAAACAACAAACAAACGAAACTGCTAGATGTTGCAGTAAACACTCGAGGCTCTAATTCACCACACAAACCGCTGAATTATAGCAAAGAAAACATCCCATTTTTTCAGAAAYACACAATGTTGTTAGTTAAAACGTTTTTAAGTATGTTTAGACTAACAATTTTTCAGAGTATCAAAGATTACAATGTCCAATTATAATTGGGTATGAATTAACTATACCGAAGGCGGCCATATTGAAAGACTTGGGGCGCAAGGGTTTATGGATACTAGACTAGCGACGTCTCCTGTGAGCTAAACACAGTTATTCTTAAGTAAAAAGGATTTTTATTCATAACGCAAGCAAAGTGAGACTTTTAGATAGGTGCTGTTGATATCGTGATGTGTGTACTAAAGCTAGACAATCCATCACTTCGTGTTTCCGAATATGCCTACTGGACCCCAAACAAGCATTTTCCAAGTTTACTTGGAAATACTAGGGTAAAAAAACAGATTTGTGTACACTCTCCCAACTAGGGAAACAATAACTCAATTGCGGTTTCTTTACGGACACACCAATGTACTGGATACCAAGATATCCAAGTATGACGGCGAAGGATTCTATAGAGAGAGGAAATCCCCCGCCCAATAGTGACTAGGATGTTCGACGCAGATTTTGGGATCAAAACAACTCCAAAACTGCTATCATATCAGCACCTTTAAGGTTTTTTTACTTATCGATCAAACATTTTAGTTTTACCTCTGCAGTGCTAAACAAAACACTCAAAACGCTTCCTTACACTGGAATAAAACATTGCATAATCATGAATAATAGACCCTGCGGCTTAGTTATACGACTTTTTCTACGCAAACCGGCACTCAAGAGTTTTTTTCACTACATTAGCAGGCCTTAATGGTAAAGGAAATATCCCCTTTTTCTGGAATACACAACCATTTTAGTTAAAACGTTTTTAAGTGTGTTTACTGCTGCTGTCTTTAGGTTTTCGAAGGTATAAAAGTTTGTGGCCATCACTAGATACTTCTTTGAGGATGGGCAGAAAGGCGAGGGAAAGGCCTTAGGATATAGTTTGCGTTTTAAAAAAGGATTTCAATGTCTACAATAATGATTTGATCGGCTTATTTATTAAAACAGTTGCATTACAATAAAGAAAAAAGACATGTATTCCCAGGTGTTGCTGAAAAACATTAATGTGAAACTAAATGAGGCCTCGTAACAGGACTAATCMGGGACGTCGGAACACACACACACTTTTTCATTCCGAAAATAAAAGTTAAGAAATCAACGTTCGTTTTTTTGTTTTTTGTTTTGTCTTAATAGTGATAAAATACTTAGATCGCTTTTTATGTTAGTAGCCCCCCCTCCCCTCCCCCCCGCTAAAAAAAACCGCTCCGACGTTACTGAAAGAAATATTAGATTTTTGTAAAAAAAAAGTACTTCTGGTTTTGGGGTGCCTGTGTCTCTAAAAGAAATGAGGAACTGAAAACTAGTTACCATTCTTCCAAGAATATGCACCATCCAAGATGGTGGACGAATAACATAAAAAATTGTATAAAATGTCACTGCCCTTTTCTAGAAATATTGCAAGATGTAAATTGTTTTTCCGTGTGAAGCAAATATTTGCAAATGTAGGTATTCACTGTAGTATAATTTGATTACGTTTTGGTGTTATTTCTGCACGATTTGCTTAGAAAAGTACTTCTGCGCGGTGTTGGACAACTTCATTAGCCTTACAATTTAATAAGTTAAGTTTAATATCGGTTTTTCAGGCTACCGAAGTCGCTATAAGAGCAAGAACTACCATATCAAAGGATGCTACCCTATATTATTATGACAGGAGAAAGTTTTTTCGTCTTGTTGGATTGGCATCTTGTAGTCAAAGCGTATTTTGGATCTACCTTGCGTACTTTCAATACACGACCAGGCCACAGATAATGGCTGGAATGGCAGAGAGAGAGAAAATGATGAGCTCAGAAAGGCAAGACGGAGTGTTTTTAAACGTTTATGTAGTATTTTAAAAAAAGCAAATGCTAACAACTTTGATCTTTTGTTTTTTATTGTTTCAAATGTTTACAGATCCGAGAGTAAAATATGGAAAGTCGTACAATTAATAGAAGTAAGCTTTTGTATTTTGCAATGATTTGATTATGATTGATCTGTTATTTGGGTACAGTGGCATTGTAATCCAAAATCCCCATTTACACTTTTATTTATAAGATATTTTAATTATGCAAAAAATATGTAACTTTTTATGTTGGTTTATTGGAAATGTTTTTACAGCAAAGTCCTGTATTCCTGTCTGTATTTGCTGTTTCAGTAGGAATGTTTTTATCTGCCACAGGATGGATCTACTGTTTAAGGTACTTTCCTTAAAATCCCATCCTACCTGTGTTACAATAGACTGTGGGCAGAATTGTCTAGTTTAGTCTTCTGCCAAAGCTACTAAAATGGCTAAAAACTGTAAAATGTAGAATCTAGTGCAAACATGTCAAGTATAGTCACCAATAACAATGTGATTTTCATTTCAATGGACAGGAATGTCAACTCAATCGTACTTACAAAAGGTGGTGAAATGTTGAAGATCACCACCCATACACCACTTGGAGGGACAAGGTCAATAACCACACCCATTCGGCATGTGTCTAGTATTGCTTCAAGACTAGGTAGGTATAATAAAGCAGTGGCACTGTGGTTACTCGAGCTTACACAACTAAACCGGACATGGTGGCTGTCACAGCTCAGCTGAGTCACCAAAAGAAGGTGTCACAAAAGAATGTGTAACTTGGTTTTTAGGCTAACACAGAGCAAACCAGAACTCGAAATTAGAGTTTAAGTGAAAACCATTCTTCTATTGGTCTACCATTTTTTCTAATAAGTGTAGTAGCCAATAGAGTAGCCAATCAGAATGCAATGTCTCTGTTATAATTCTCATTTGTAATTCCTTTTTAATATTTTAATGTGCAGATAACAAGAGTCAAATCCCATTCAAGATCAAAGGACACAAATTTTTCTTTATTATAGACAAGGAAGGACAGTTTCTTCAGCCAACACTGTTTGACAATACAGTCTGTGTAAACAGACACTTATGAATGAATATTATTTAAATTTCACACACAAGTTTAAAGAAAAATTAAAAGATATCCATTAATTGTCTATTCGTGCTGTATTGGTAGCTTTGGGTTGAATCCTGTGTAGATGTAATGAAGGTCAACGAAACACAGGAATCTTGGAATATAGGAGATATAAAGATGAAATGATATATATGGTGCTAGTTATTTTACACTTAACATATTTTAACATTTGCACTGCGTCACCACGGACCCGGTGCCAGTTATTTAACACTTAACATTTTCACTGCGTCACCGCGGACCACGGTACCAGTTATTTTACACTTAAAAAATTTTAACATTTTCACTGCGTTAACACTCAACATATTTTAACATTTTCACTGCGGACCACGGCGCCAGTTATTTTTAACATATTTTTACATTTTCACTGCGTCATCGCGGACCAGAGGCTAATTATGTTACACTTTATATATTTTAACATTTGCAGTACGGCACCGCGGACCACGGTGCCAGTTCTTTTTATACTTATAATATTCGATCGCTTTCACTGCGGCACAACGGACCGTAAACGTCTCCCAACGTAACAAGTCTTTAGGATCAATAAACTAGTTAACAAAAATGCTCAGGGCATTCACTCGGTATATGATCATATATTTACTGAATTATTTTATATTTTTTGTGCAGCTGCGACATCTCTTAATGCATGATAGCTTAGGTGATGAATTTAGAATATCGTTGTTTTCTTTTCAAAAAATCCGAACACTCTGTCATCGTCTGGTGGTTACGTTGAATTAAACGATAGTCAAAAACGCACGAAAGAAAAAAAAGAAAAAGGAAAATACAATTAGGTTGTAAAAATATAATTTATAAATTGCGTGATCGCAGCCTCTAAGTGGTATTTTTAGTTAGTAGTCTTGAACTAAATTAAGCAATAAACGCGTCTGGACCAATATATAGCTCTACATAATCTCTTATTTTTCTACTTTTACTTAATGCCGTAACTGTTAAAAATGTTAAAAATATTCATTTTATGCACTATTCCCTGGCATTGATAACTCTCAAAAGACAACATAAAACTGAAAAAATGCCATAGTTCCCTTTGAAACACAATACAACTTGTTTTGATCTGTTCTATTGGATCCCTTTCTGGTTTTAATGTTCAGGTCATCGATATCATGATTTCCCACAATTCCTTTGGGGTGCCAATTTTCTGTGAAAATCTATTAGTTGAAAGGTATGGTAAAAGCGTTTTGGCATTTATTGTTTCTTGTATGCCACCGAGATAGATCGAATTTCTATCAGATATTTGCCTTGGTATAATTAATATAATCTTAAGGGTATGATAAATTAACGCCAAACGATATGACCAGCGATCGCACAGTAGGTCTCGGCCACTTGAATTGAAAGCTTAAAGCCGTTAACTCTTAAGAAGATCACAAAAGCAATACCTTCTCTGGCTACCGCGTGGGATTCATATTGAGTAAATTAACCTATTTTTTGATATCGTTCCGATATATTTCTTTCTCTTCATAAAAAAGCGTTTTTTGTTTGACAAGACGTTATATCAACTGCGATGATCGACGTTATTTGACGTGGGGGTGAGGGTGGGGGGTGCTTTTGGTGGTTTGAAAGCCAAGAAAAAGTTTTGAGTCATAATAAGCCGAAAAAAAAATTCACAGATACTATGTTCCTACACCGAAGTGAATAGCACTAGGTTTTCTCAACGATGTTTTCCTTCCCCGGACTTATAATCATCTCAATGTACCTCAAACTGTTGGATCGACATAAATTCTAGGTTGTAAAATATGTAAAAAAAACCCTGCTCTTCCTGCTTTTTCCTTACCTCAAAATAAATTGGTAACTACCCCCTGACTTTTCTAATAGTCCACCTCTAAGTCTGATGAATCAATTGATTGGAATGAAATATACTGGAGAATTTGTTTTGAAGATTTGGCAAAAATATTCACAGAAAAAAAAAACAATTCAAATTGCGAGGCCAAAAACACGATATACATGTGTATCACCATGACAACAAAGAGGCAGAGTAATGTTGGATAATACCAGATGATGTCACCCGTGAATAATACAAAAATAAAAACCTTACAGGTGGGAAGTCTATTTGAAAAAAAAAAGAATTATCGACAGACTGAGACTTACTAATTATCCAATAATGGAGAAGGCAATCATCATTTCTCCTCTACTGGTAATGTTTTTTATCTGTTTTTTTCTGACATCTACTGATAGCTCGCGTCTCGTTCTTGACGGCACGTCACGTGGGGGCAATATAGTCGCCCAACACTCTTCATAAAAAAAGTTGTTTACATTTTCAACCACGAAACCTGTGACTTATCAACTGTGAATTAATTCTGGGTAAAAAATGAGATCATTGCTTACTGTTTTTAAGACGGAAAGTGCTTGATATTTTAAACACTTGAGATCAAAGGAAAAGTGGAAGGTTTATGGATAAGGACATAAAAGGCATAGTTGTGAATTCTGTTGATGCGCAATGGACATATCCGCTGAGCAATCGTCAGTCACGGAAATCTCAAGTTTAATCATTCTCAAAAAGGAGTTAATTAATCGCAAACATGTGGTCAATGCATAAGTTTAGAGACCGATCTTGACGTGCAGTTGTAGAATTTATTATTTAAGTTGTTTTTCTCGCTTGGAAAGGATAATTGTTATTCCCTGAGTCCGCTAGACATTTTAGTGGCTCGTTAGGTGTGAGGAGCGGCAGAATATCATCGAGTTACATTCATTGGACTAATGCAGACGTCTTTTATCGCTTAGAGACCTCTTTGAGATCCATTATCTGTTTACATTAAGCCGAAGGCCTTGTATTTTTGGTAAAGTGCTTGATTGCAAGTTGACCGGTATAACGTCCTCAGACAACCATTCCTGAAAATGGGTGATGAACAAGACGCACTACCTCTGACAAGATTTCTCTTAACATCTTTTATAGTTATCCCAAACTTCATCGGGAACACCCTGGTCTGTTTTGTTGTTTTAAAAATCAAGGCTTTTCACACGTTGACAAACTTTCTCCTGGTGCATTTGGCAATCACCGACATTCTGGTTGGCATCTTTGCACTCCTTCAAGCGATTTTTGAGTTTGCCATTCATGACAAATCGATCATCAATGTTCATATCTGTAAACTTATAACTAACCAACACGTCGTCATGATGGGTGTTGGGAGCTCGTATACGACAATCGTTATCGTGTCGATTCTACGATACTACGGTATAACCAAACCAATGAGGTCTATCAAATTCAGAAGAGTTCAAAAGCTAATCTACTTTATCCCGTCTATTTGGTTAATATCCATCGTTGCGCTTTCGCCAAGAATGTACGGCGACTTCTCCAACGGTCTCGGATGCGTTAAACTCGTTGCTATTTCCAGAACGAGTAAAATTGCCGGAGGAATATCGATTGTTGTTCGTGGTATTATTTTACCAGTTGCGACACTCGCTTACACGTACAGAAAAATCTACCAGGCTTTGAGACAGCGGCTAATGGAACAAGCATCTGGTAAAGACTCAATAAGACACGGCGCTTTGAAGTCTGCAAATGTTCTTGGTTTGGTGATCGTTGCGTTCATATTCTGCACCGTTCCGTATCATCTTTACGGGTTTATCGTTTCAGTTCTTGGAAATCATCATTTTAGCATGAATTTCCTGGAAATGGTGCTGTTTTGTGTTTTTATTTTGGGATCAAGTGTGAATCCATATGTGTATTGGTTCCATTGTAGACGATTTAGAAGAATGACCTATAAAATGATCAATTATAAACTAAAAAGATTCAGTCGGATTTACCCTTCTTAAACTGGAAGAGTTTTCCCTTCGTGCAAGACAATTAAAAACAACTCATTCTGCCACACTTGCCATTCTTTGAATTGGCAGTCGGACATGAAAGATATGAGCTAGACGGAAACTTCCCACACGCAGTTAATCGTGAAGGACTTAGTACAAGAAGTCAGCTGCTTGTGTCCTTGTTGGAATTGACTAACGAAACTTAACAATTTGGAACTGAATCGAAACTGAAGCACGAAAACACGATTCATGATAAATAAGGAGAATAATTGAACTTGAATTCAAGGATTTTATTTATGCACCTTTCCGGAATTGTTTTTAAAAAGAATATTTTTCTCGATAGTGGCAAAAAACACTCTTTAATTCATGATATATAAGGAGAATAATTCACTTGAATTCAAGGATTTTACTTACGCACCTTTCCGGAATTGTTTTTTAAACCGATAGTTTTTCTCAATATCGGAAAAAAAAAACGTTTTTAACTCGTAGCATTTTAGCATCGTTTTAAAATCCTCTGCAAATACGAGAATGCGTTTATTTTTATTTTTTGCCCTACAGAGCATTTGTGAGCCAAAAATTACGTAATTGCGCTGTCAGATTTCAACCAGCCACACAAATGAAATTAGCCTGTCTTTTCAAATGCTTTCAACTGCGTTTTTGGTGCACAAAAACGGTGCACGAAAACCCCGTTTCTACTGAKGCCCCGTCGACTGGATTTACAGGACAGGTTGCATTCCCCGTAAAAGGACCGACGCGCTGACGGCGAACTCCAMTTACGTTTACGGCTTCTACAAAGACACGTTGGAGCCCAGCAGCAGGGCGTTTTCTAGCTTTAATGATTTATTGCTATTTTAATTGCCAAGATATCCTAAATAGAGCGTCCATTATTCATTCTTGGTATTTTAACAACACATCAACAACAACCTCCAAGAAATTGGCGTCAAACAACTCGCCGCCATATTGGATGAAGGTAGCATGGCGACTGTGGCATGCTGACAAAAAATACAATAAAATCCTTAAGTGATTTATTAAAACCCAGCCCCTCGATCTATATTAGAACACGAGTGTTCCGCCTTAACTGAAAAGCCTCTTATTTTCTATTTTTTCCATTGGTTGTGTGTCTTTTTTCGCTGAAAGAAAACCAAGTGACCAAGATGTTAATTAACCTCCGGACCTTTATATACAAGAACCCCGGGTGCTCATTCTAGCTTTTTCGTTTGTTTGTTTGTTTTTTTCCTTATATTGTTGCTTTTTTTTGCTCGCGATAATGACGTACTGCTGGGTTTAAGTTTATGTCATGGCAGCCATGTTGATGGTTTATTGACCAAGGATTTCTTATTAGTGTCCATATTGTTTACACTAACAACAACATGCCTGACGTTCTTCTTTTGTCCTTTGCCGCGATTGATATTTCCTTAGTTTTTGCAAAGAATGAATCTGGTTTATTAATAGGTAAAAAAACTAGAGTTTAAACACTAAAAGCTTGAAGGTTCTAGTACATGTCGGGTCACTCGGGTCCGCAGTAATTGGCTCAAACTGTTGCCGTGTCCCTGCCCCTAATATCATTTTGTATTTGTTGTAATGATATCTTTTGTTGTTTTTAATGTTGTTGTTTATGTAATTTGGGCAAAGATAATAAAATAAAATAAAAAAATAAAATAAAAATAAAATAAACATGGCCCATAGTGCTAAAGAGATATAGGAACATTCATAATTCAGTAGAAATTGTTAATAACACTATTTAAGTACCAACGTGTTCAATGGTTTTAGTGTTGGACGCTCTCTGTATCACAAACAACTGTTTTCTCGTGCTGAGCTTTAGGAAATAGAGCATACAAAAAAATTGAAAACAAATTATCACAAAAAAATTGACTTCCCCCTAGTCATACCGGCGCCAAATTATTGGGGCTAAATGTTTTGAATAGCTCATTTCTCAGTGATCGATTTTTTGAACACATTTGTGGAAAAGGTTTTGATTGAACAGAAAAAAGATCCGATTAACTTAAATGAACATATGGAGAGAGAGCTTTTCGAATTATTACCATAAAATTTCGCACTTTGGATAATGATTTTGTGCATAAGAGTGCATGCAAAATCAAGTGTTTTGCGGAAGTCGAGTGAGAAAATGAATGACCATTCTTGTCGAGTTATAAGAGCCCTTATAGTGAAGTGAATTAACTCCAACCTTTGATTGTCAAGGCTTTCAACCAACTTTCATCTAGGAGAAGATTCAGCAAGACTTTTAATAAACCAATCAACATCGCTGTAATAGAAAATAAACCAATCAACATTGCTGTAATAGAAAATGCCACGAAAAGCCGCTCATCTGATTGGATGCTGACCCTGCGTCTTCTTTGATTGTTGATTGGCCAGTTTTAAGTCGTATAGAAACTCCTAGTCCAATTGCAGTGCGCCATTGATTTTACGGAATTCAAAGATAAAAGGTTTTCTCTTTCAGTTTTGCCAAATGTCTGGCCATCTTGAGATAACAGTGGTACGGCCAAAGGTCGAGTTTGTAGACATTTCAGTCAATTAACAGAACGGAATAAAATAGCGGACAAGATGGAGCCGAATGAAACTTCAATCTCGCGATGTTCCACCATTACAACGTACTTTCTTCATTTTTCGCGCAACTTCTCCTACGACCGCTATTTACTCTCGGTTTTCGCCGTCAACTGCTTCATCTGTCTAATAGCATCCTTTAGTAATTTCGTTATAATTCTCACGATACTGAAAACCAAATCACTACAAACAGCTCCTAATATTCTTCTTCTTGGCTTGGCGGTGTCCGACTTCTTCGTGGGGATAATAACCATACCATTTTTCCTTATCTATAAGTTTTCAGAGTACAATCGCGATGTGTCATCGTATTGTTTCAGTGGCATTGTTTACGTTTACAGTGCAGCAATTCTGGCCACAATTTCTTTTTTGAACCTAACAGCAGTCACTGCAGACCGGTTCTTTGCTATTCAACTTCATCTGCGCTACAAGCAGCTTATCACTTCCAAGTTGTACACCAAACTCCTGCTATTGATATGGTTTACTTGTATTACCGGAGTAGTCATGAGAATGTATCTTGCAAACAATTTTTACTATCTCTTAGTTGCATGTGTGATATTTGTGATGATGCTGGTACTCAACGCAGTGTTTATTTTCAAGGTAGCGAAAACTATTCGTAGACATAAAACTCAAATTCGAACTCATGCTACACCGGGAACATTAAACATGCCAAAATACAGGAAAACGGTTAGTACCATGTACTATATCATAGGAGCGTTTGTGGTGTGTTATTTTACCTTTGCAAGTGCACTCATACTGGTGACTTGCGATCGGAGCTTCAGCTTCAGAAATCGCGCCCTGTTTACAGTCGGGGAAACATTTTTGTTGTCGAATAGCGCTTTGAATCCAGTTATCTATTGCTGGAGAATTAAAGAAATACGAACTACTTCGCTAAAACTGTTAAAAAATATTGTCAAAAAGAGAGAAATGATAGAATAACATATATRGCAACTCCGATCCTGAAGATGAAAGAGAAAAAAGACAAAAAAGGATTCATTTATACACGAAGATCAAGGGAGGAATATAATTATCTATAAAATACCTATATTTCTCCATTTCGTAAAATTGATATTTTCACTTGTGAAAATAGGATTGAAATAAAGAAAGTGAAGATGGAAGTGGGGCTTGTTTCCTATTGTTGAATTCAATAAGGAAGTACGAACCACTTCATTAAAACTGACAAAAAGAAAGAAATGACAAGATAAATGACATGGAAACTGCGACAGCTAAAGAAAATGAAGGGAAAAAGGGAAGGAAAACTGAAGGAAGGTGGAAAATAAAGGGAGTAAAAGGATCGATTCACAAATAAAGAAAAGGATGCATTTTGATTTTCCAGTTTCTCAGTGAATATCGAAGCGTCAGTAAAACGTCATTCTTGGATCGCGTCAAAGTCTAAGCAAACCGTTAAACCTAAACGTCAAAGCGTTAGCAAGACGTGAGACATCGATCTCAAAGCGTTAACAGTAAAAGGATCGATTCACAAATAAAGAAAAGGATGCATTTTGATTTTCCAGTTTCTCAGTGAATCGAGTCGCTGATCGAAAAGCGGCATTTTCGCGAGGACGAAATAATATGACGCGCATATCCGGCAATCATTCTAAAAAGAAATGGATTGAAAAAGGAAACTAATGTCCTTAACRRRRGRAKAKMACWWGSRARTRKYWC